TTTTGAAGAAGAATAAATTCCATCCATACAAAATACATTTAGTCCAGGAACTTCATAAGGATGATTATGACCGCCGTTTGCAATTTTGCAAACGAAATAATGAGTGAGCGAGCAGGGAACGATCCACAATTCCTTTTTAACATCTGTTTTTCTGATGAATGCAGTTTTTTCTTGAATGGGACGGTAAATGATCACAATTGCCGTTATTGGTCCGATTCAAACCCAATACTTTTTCACGAGGTGCTGGTGGGTTCTTTTTTTCTACCTGGTAATTTGAATGGCCAAATGTATTTGCAATTACTGGAAGACGCTATTGACCCTGCCTTGACTGATATTATTGAAAATGTTCCAGAGTATGATGAAGATCATTTGATTTTTCAACAGGACGATGCTCCCCCGCATTATGCGTTAATTGTCCGTCAGTATTTGGACCCACGTTTTCTACAGAATTGGATTGGGAGAAGAGGCAGCATTGAGTGGCCTCCACGATCACCGAATTTATCGCCCCTTGATTTCTTTTTGTGGGGATACCTAAATGAAATATGGATATCTAAATGAAATACAGCTAGCGTCGTTGGAAGATTTGCGTCAAATCACTCCGGAAATGCTTCGGAATGTGCGCGAACGTTTCGAAGAAAATCTTTATTCTTGTGTGGAAGCGGGCGGCCATCAGTTTGAAGTAAGTAAGCAACTAAACATAATTTAAATTTTAAAATGTAAATTTTTTTCAAAATATCGGGCGGAATTATAAAATTTAAAGTCTGGTGTAAAGAGCTTTCAAAAGAAATATTACTCAACCCACAATGCCATTTAAATATTTTGGGGTGATGCTTACCCTTGCTTGGGCGTGAAAGTGGCGGAGTCAATACCAGCAAAGAATGTCCCTGTCCCCCTTTAATCTAAAATCGACGGGTCTGAGCGTTTTTCTACAATCTTGACGCAGTTCCTGAAAATGGCTCTGTTTCGTTTTCATTTGGCCACCCTGTATATCTCGCTACTTGGATCATAAATGAATAATAAACGGTCTTTCGTACATATCTGTGTGTTTGAAATATATGTTATGAGAAATTTTGGTTTCTCCCGATAAGCAACTTCATGCAATATCTTTAATATCTTACAGGCGTGCTTGTAACAACACATCTGCGCCATTTTTCTGTGCTAACAGAGTTATTCTGTAATCGGATATTTTTTCTTAAACCTCGAAACCAGCCACCCCGTACACGACGGTTAGGGTGGCTGAGTGTTCTCTCAACTGGAGACTTAATATGGCGGAAAGTTTATCTGGCTCTTACCTGGAATTACTCCTTTTACTGCTGTCCTTCTTGCCAGCCTGCAGGTTGGGAAGGTCTTTCTGTCTTTTCTCTGTCTCTCTCCATATCCGCCAGTATAGGAAGCACATGACAGTGACTGGCACATAGAAAGCTGCGATCGCCGTCCCGAAGGTGATATAGTGGTTCGTTTCAATGAATTGGATGTAGCATTCGTTGTCGGGTACAGTCCGCTGGCCCTCGATGTAGGGCCAGCTGTAAATCCAAGGTGGCCAGAGTAGGAGGCTTATTCCCCAAGCGCACCTATAACAAATTTCACGTCCTTAATGTTGGGACATCATCGAGTATGATACTTTTCCAAAAGCCATTTTGTCATATTGAGTTACTAGTCTACTTTAAATTAGTATTTCATAAATTATGTAAGTAATTATAAAAGACGGTGTTGCCAAAACAGTACGTTGCCAATGGCATAAATTAAACTATTTGTGAGCGGAAAGAAAAATATTAAAAAACTAAATGCACCGTCTGAAAATCTTAATCTTGTATATGATCGTGTGTTCAAGGGCAAATTTAAAATCATTTATACTAAAAGCATACAATTTACAGAAAATTTCGACTGAGTTCAGAATATTTTTTAATTATTTTAAATATAAACTTAGGTATACTTCTAGCAATAAATTGCAGATCAGACAAGTACGAGACTACAATATATTTTGTTTTCGTTCAGTGAACATTATTAATTCTTCACAATCTTTACTTTAATTAGCAACAACTTATAGTCATTTGCTGCTGATTCATTAAGGTAGTATTCACTTGGTGATCCATCTGGAGGGTGATTGTAAAATATGTAATCAAACTTATTTGACGGAAATTAGAAGTCAAAATTGATTGTTTGAACTTAATTTACCTAGATCCCAAAATGTAACCCTAACGAGTTGAACCCCTTCAAGTTAAAAAAAAAAACTAGAAATGGAAATTTTTTCTAAACATCTGAAAATATTTTTCTCAGATTTGGCACACGACCAATGCTAATGAATAGCCATATTTTGAAGTTAATATCAATAAAATCCATTGATGGTATGGAGGTAGGGATAGCTGCTCTTTGTTTCACTTTATATTTTCTTATACTCCAGATTTTGATGGCGTGTACAGTATCTGTGGACAAACAATTCAATTCTATTATTTTTCCATCATTGCCTTTTTTTGATACGACTAGACAATTGGATTGTATTGACTATTTTAAAGGAAAAAAAAACAAGTGAGGTAAATTAAATATGTACATATTGATAACTTCCACTATAAAATTCATTGTGGGTAAAATGTACGTCCAAAATTTTAAAATAATGTAACTTGAATCTTGAATATTATTCTCAAAATGCCTGCTTCTTCACGAAGCATTTCAATGCGAAGTTCATTTACAGCATTCTGTATGCGAACCCCGATTATTTTCTAATTATCTAGTAGAATACTAAGCCATTAAGATGACTCCAAAGGTATAAATTGCAAGGATTAAGACCAGGAGGACGGGATGACCAAGCAATTGATGAATTTTGTGGGAAAATTTTGGTGCAACTGATGTATAATCAAAGAGTAGTGTGCTGTGGCACCATCGTGTATCATAGTTTGTTTTACTTCCAATGGAACTTCATTAAGAAGGTCGTTTAAATTGTTTTGTAAAAAAAGTAGATAATATCCCCCTCCTAGGCGATGCGATATAATATGACGTCCTACAAGATAATTTTATATGCGTATCCATACATTCAGATCAAATGTGTGCTGCGTGGAACTCGTACATGTCATGAGGATTTTCATCCAGATATGCACATAATGGGTAATAAAAATACCATTTCTTGTAAACGTTTTTAACAAAAGCCGGGACGCGTGGTAATTTATTTATTAGTTCTCGGAATGGATGGGCCTAAAAGTAAAATATTTCAGTCAACACTAATTTATAGAAAAGTTAAGGACTCACAAGTAGGTTTAGCGTCGCCACAAGGCCGTCCTTCGGAGAAGGCCTTATAAAATTTAACAGTATCTATTTTTGAACAAGTTCACTTAGACTGTCGGGGCCATGTGTTGAGCATCTGGTATAAAGAAAAAAATCGATATTTCAAATAACGCGCGAAATGCATTCCAAAGAACGTAGGAATTCCAAGAATAAGTTGTTAGAAGTTGTTAGAAAAAAATAATAATTGATCAAATAGATGGTTTTTAGGCGGATTTTCCAAGCTATAGGAATAGATTAAATGAGATTGACTAATGCGTCCCGTATTGCTACACGGAGTCACTAGAGGAAGGTTACTTGTAAGTCCAGTTAGTCACAGAATTATTTATACAGGGTGAGTCAAAATTCACTCCCTAGCGGCCGGATATATATTCTAAAATAAAAAATAAAACAAAAATGTAGAATACTAAAATCTCGAAAGCGGAGCCGTTTTCGAATAAATTATTAATTTTAGTTCAATAAATGCGCAAATTTCGACAGACTAATTAAGTTGGCCGGACAAAAACAAGGACTTTTAAATGACCACAACCTTCATTATTGGCATTATGAGAATCCTCATGATAAACGTTAGCGGAATCAGCAAAGACTGTAAATGTTTGGATAGGTATTTACGGGAAAAGGATCATAGGTCCATATTTTTTGCCAAGAATACTGAATGGTGAAAATTACAGTAATTTTTGCGAGAACATTTTGCCAGGTTTGATAGAAGATATTCCTCTACAACAACGTGCAACTATGTGGTTTCAGCATGAAGGTGCGCCCGCACATGCCACATTACAAGTACGTTATATTTTGAACCTAATAAATGGATTGGACGGGGTGGCCACCCACTACTTTTGGTTATGGGGATACATAAAAGAAAAGGTTTATTTTACTGTGCCTGTTGGCAGGATTCATGAAGCTGTAGCGTAAATAAATGAAGCTAATTTCTGTTCTGTTGCCAGGAGTTTTTACCACAGATTGCAGAAGTGTATTAACGAAAACGGTAATGGTTTTGAAGGTTAGCCAAAGCCAGAAGGATCTTCGTTTTTGCTATTTCTTATTTTGTATGGATTTAAATGGTGGATTTTAATGGTGTTAATATTAAACAAAAAAATTATAAATTTGAATTTTTCTTTACAAAATTTTCCGGCTCCGCTTTCGAGATTTTAGTATTCTACGTTTTTGTCTTATTTTTTATTTTAGAATATATATCCGGCCGCTGGGGAGTGAATTTTGACTCACCCTGTATAAATATAAATTTAGTCCATTAGATAACTAGTAACGTGGCATAGTTATGCCAAAGCGTCCCGATATTCAGGGTTTCCGCCAGTAAGATAAGAACAGAAACGTCTGGACCCAAGAAATGGGCGTGTCGAAGCGAGGTGTCGAATTCCGGAAAGATCTCAAAAAGAGGCAGTTTTTGCTTAGGTTCCACATTGAGCAGTCACTTAGTTTTAGCCTCGGGTTAATTTAATAATGGATAAAGTCAGTCCAAATTTTGCTATGGATCTCACATTCCCTGAATCTCGATACGCTGTTGCGTGTAAATGAGTCAATAATGTTTATTCGAGTTTGTTGTGTTACCGTTGTTTTTTTTATTGTTATTAAACCCTTCCTGGAAGTTTTGATATTTTTTTGTTCTTCCAATTTAAGTGCCACCCTATACAACTAACCACTGGATTACATTCTACATGAGCGACGTACGGTAAGTGTCTGAAATTCATTCTCTGTACGTACCTACAACATTTCTAAGTTCCCACGTATTAATTAAAGTGTAATGATAATTATTATAAACTCCCTTTCGAGAAGTTAATAGTAAACTATTTTGTCAGTTAATACCGTTATGATACTGGTCATAGCGGTAGATAGATAGATAAAGAAATAACCCCTCAGCTTCATCAGTAAACAATATAAGTTTAGAGATTTCTATTCAACATTTGCAACATTCTTCTGCAGAAAGCAAATATTCTAAGAAAGTCTTAAAGCAGTAACTCTTGTACTTTTTGAAAATGATATAACATTAACTGTTACTCTCGCAACACTTTCCAGATTACGGACTGTGACACTACATTGTAGGCGTTGAGCAGTTTTTCTTGTGAAAACAGCGAGACATTCCTCAACAATATTTAAAATCATTTCTTCACTGTCATTTGTTCGAACGTACCGGGTTCAACCAGCATCATTAAGTCTGAATTTCTCCACGTTCGATATTCATAAAACGTTTGTATGTGTGGCATACGAAGATCTAAAAAATTTTTCATTTACCAACTAACAGCATTATCTGACATAATTGAAGAAGAGGAAAAAGGGATAACAGCAATTAATATTAAATGTCAATGTTAAAAAGTCCACAGAAACAAATATCTTAAAATATCGCACAATCCGAAAAAGTTTAATTTTTAAAATAAGAATACACTGAACAATTTTTACAAGTAGATGCTAATATACCTGAAAATTGTATATATTTGTATATTTCGGTACATTATAACTTTATTTTTCTTTCACCAGACTTCTCTTAGATACATAGGTTATGCTTTTAAGTCCAACGTGACATATTTCTCACTGCAGATTTTCTCTTTGAGATGTAGATGTAGCGTACAGAGCGTAGCCTCTTGGGATTAATAATGTTAAAAATATCTGCTGTAGCTTCTTTTCTGAACCAGATATTGGTTTATTCTTGGGTCGCAGTATGAGATGTTTATCACTTACATTACCAGCCAATGCAAATGACGTTCAACCATGTCAGAAGGGTATATTAAAGATTCATTATCAAATAAAGTTGAAACAGCTAAGGATAATCAAGCGGACAGTTCCAAATATAGTTTAGAATAATCAAGAATAATGAAGCTCGAGTTCCAGCTGTGTTTGCAGTTAATCGTTTCGTATCGAGAGAATTAATATGAATTAGGTAATGCGGATAAATAAAATTTATTGAAATTTTCCACCTGGGTTAAATTTTAGTGTACACTAGTTGAAGACTTATGTATAACTCTTGACTCTAATTATAAATAAGCTTTTACTCCTCATATGAGCTAATGTTAATACAAGTTTTGGCTTTATTATGTATAATGAATGTTAAACATCTTACACATTCTACACAGATTGTCAGGTTAAAACTTGAGTGTGTTTTATTGTCTGTAATTATTTATTTGTGGTTATTTTCAGATACTTCTTTATTTGATTGGACATTTCTGCTACACTTACAGGAAAAAATAATAAATAACTTTTTGCGATAAAAGGATCAGTTAAAGGGTTGATTTTATAAATTTAGTTTTGTCTAACCAGAATATTTCTCAGTGCCAGCTGAAAATTTGAT